TCCGTTGTAAATAGGTCTGGATCAACACACGTGACGTCACAGATCTGTCACGTTTCGCAAAATTACAGCAAAGCGCCAGATTTGTTGTATGCTTTCTTGAACCTATATGGATGGTTCAATTTATATTGTCGAAATAAACACCTACACCATAAGTCCTTTGTTAGAGAAAGTGATAAATAGGGAGATAAAACAGAGCAGTTTTTTTCCTGAAAGCGAAATTAGTAATGTCGGGAACACAAAACAAACATGAAATTTCCTGTTCCAGTGAAATTTGCCGAACCCCAAAGGCTCCTAAGTAAATCTTTGTATTTGCGACCTCTATCTGTTCATAAATTATTTTTAAAAGGACATCTAAGTACTGTTCAATGAAATCGTTCCACTTAGTATTTTTTTTTCCATTTTTTTTAGTAAATTGTAACGAAATTTACTCGTCTCAAAGCTTGACTTACTTTTACTTTAGTTCAGTGGACTATGAAAAAACAGTGACAAACATTTTACACTCAATGTATTATTGTTTTTATTTATTCACAATTTTCACACAAAATTCATATAATTAGTAGAGATATGATTATATTGAGTGTCATAAGGCCCGGTTTCTGAAACACTGATCACCATAGAAATTGACTAATCAGCTGTCAAATGTCATTTGAGTTGCCAAAGGGATGGTTAAACTCTATAAATCATTCTGAAAGCATGAATGAATACACTTTATTACACACCAAACATTAAACAAACAAAAATTAAAACTTAATTTAGAAGTGATGGGTACATTGGGCGGCCTTATTACTAAGAGTAATTTCTTCCAGGCAACCTTTTCTAGCATCATCATCAAAAATATTTTTTTACAAAACCATGAAAGAATCTTTAAAATAAATTCCGTTTAAGAAGGTGCCGCGTTTTCCTAAATATAAAAACCACATATGATAATGATTGTTTAGAATAGCATGAAACGTAAATAAATTACTCTAAATAACCGTTTGTTATAGACACAGGAAATTTCTCTAAGCTTCTTAAATAGTTATTGTAGTATTTAATCAAACTAATGAGTGAGTCATCGCACGTCATAGTATGTAATACATTGTCCTGTCCACAACCCTTAAATCCGACAACAACTTATACACAGAAAATTAATAAAAAATAATATAATATAATGTAGTGTACCGAATGGTGAACCTAAACCATTTTCGAATCCACTCGAACACTCAAAATATTTCATCATAATCATTTAGGATTCGTTTAGGAGTTCAGGCACATACAGACGCACAGAACAGTTATATATGTAAAAATTGCCGTACAGTATAAGAGTCGAGTGATAGAGCACGTCGATAATAATATTTTCAATGTGTTTTTATCCATTCCTCTCGCGCTCCTCCCTCAAAACGCTCGTAGATGATTTTAAATTGTAAACTGCACAACCTATGTTTACCCCGCAGACAGGGAGACGTGTGGGAAATACTTGTAATGGACTCGAAGCTTTGTGCAAGACGTAAAATACAATTTATCGCATACTAAACGTCGAGATGAATGCACTTTTGTTTTCATTGCGGAGTAAAAATATTTATTCGCAATACGAACTAAGTAGTAACCAGTTTTTAGTGTAAAAGTAAAGTAACAGCCTATACATGTCCCACTGCTGGGCAAAGGCCTCCTCTTTACAGAGGGTATCAGGGCATAGTCCACCACGCTGCCCCACTGCGGATTGGCGGACTTCACATATCTTCGAAATATATTTTTTTTTGTTTTTATTTCGAAACTATGCAGGTTTCCTCACGATGTTTTCCTTCACCGCGGAGCACGTGATAAGTCAGCACTTAAAGTTAAAAACTTCATTGGTGCCGGCACCGGGGATCGAACTCAGGTTGCTCGAGTATATTGAATTAAAGGCGAGCGCCCGGACATTGAGCTATCACGGCTATTTAGTGTAAGAATAAAACTATTTCTTTTAACTGAAACTGACACTATGAGAGTGGTGCAGAGGAATTTAATGAGGGGTTGGCAAGGAAAGTGTCAGTACACTGGTCGTATAAATATTATTACCACACACTGGTGGTATAAATACGCGTACCTATAAGCGCCATCTATGTGCGTGACCATAGATACGAGGATACGAATATCTAAATCGAGTTAACCGCCTCACAACTAATTAAAAAAAAAAGAAAAATCAAAATAAACAGGAAAGTCTCGATTTCGAACTTCGAAATATCAGTAATTGCATTTCTTGATTTATTCCGTTAGAAATCTTAGTAAACGCACTAAGTAGTGATATGGCTAACTGATAGCTCAATTAACTCAAGAAATATTATTTATATTTCTAGTAAATATTATTATGCAATACATTTCCCCGGGGTGTAAACGAAAAAAAAAATAAGTTTGTTAAAGGCCACGGATAAAGCTAGCAGGAAACTCAAGTAACCCAAGAAGTGAGAATATTTGTGTTTCTTTCTATTCATTTCTAATTTCTATCTATCTTATTCTATTATTTGATTTGAATTTTGGAAATTATTTCCAGGTGTTTGAATAAAGGCAGATCGCTTCACCTGAATCGCGCGCAAAGTAGGCGCGCAACTCCTGGGACGACCTGTACCCTTCAAAAATACAGTCGCCCTAAATAGGACATAGCCAAGCGTCACCGAGGCCCAATAATTTCCTTACTCAATAGATTGAGGCACGATGAGTCAACCCGACCGTTGGTGTAGTACTCAGACGCGGATGGTGCAACGATAGCGCGATGGAAGTAACATACAGTTCCATCTAGCGACAAACGGGGGAAACTTTAATTTTTTATGTTGACAAACTTGAAAGTATTTGGAGAACGCTTACGTCCTATTTTTAACTAAGGTGTTACAAGTGATATGATGATAGTTATTCAGTCACAACAAGTATGCCTCGTGAAGTACAAAATACAAATATACATAACACATATAACATTATAAAAAAAATTTGTGAGTTTACGACATATTTAAGCAAATAAAATTATGAAGGAAAATTTTTCAGCGACGTTTTCTATAATATGATATGCGTGATATTAAAAAATTTACACCGCTATTAGTAAAAAAATATAATCATAACTGTGAAAATTTGTTTTACGTAAATTTTTCTATCACACAATAGTACCTATTATCAATAAAAAAATTATGGTTACATTTAAAAATTATTTACATAGAGTACAAGAATTTCACACACAAACGATCCAAAGCAAAAAAATTATTAATAGGACATACTAGTCCTTCTCTCATTTTGAAATTGAACCCACGACTAGTCCAAGGCTTATACTACGGCGCAAACCAAGCATGCATCAACGCCCAATCACAAATGTTTAGTCTTAAATGCCGTCAGCATTAAAACGGTCAACAATGTAAAAATTTTAAATTAATTCAAACACTATGTAAATCGTAAGTCATTTTAGTTAAATATGTATCTATACAAAAAGTCGTAATGTCCATTTATAAAAAAAAGTTCAAATAGTTCGTATATAATAGCAACTTTGTCTGTGTATAATTTTTGCGTTTATACCCTTACCTGTTAGTTCTCAACTTGCGTATCGCAAAGCAAGCATCTGATGGAGTGTTGTCATCAATCTTGGTCAGCTTCTCGTGGGACGCGTTGTTGCTATAAATAAAAATAAATAGCAATTTTGCAATAGAGAAGACTTGCTTACATCGCAGCCATCGTTTGTCAGTCATTTTTAATGAACGTAACATTAATTAATGCTTTGGTAATATAAAAAAAACAAAAGAACAGTTATTTATTGAATTAGGAGACTTTGAAAGAATTTACAAAATCCTTTTTTTTTTTTTTTTTTAATTTACAAAAAAAAATTTCTCCTCTAGTTATCTCGATTGTCGTGGAAGCAAATTAAAATTAAGAATACTCCAGATAAAGTTAAATTAAAAAAATATCATTAAATTACATGGTTCCAATCGAACATATTACTTATGTCAAATTTTAATCATTAAAAATTAAAATTGTTATAGCGAAATTAGTTAACTGTTTTAGTATATTCGAAGCTACGAAAATGATACCATATATTTAGTGATATGAAATTTTAGCCTTTTGATGTAATTTTTGGAAGTTAGCTCCATAGAGGATAGCTCCTTTTTTCGATCGTACAAAAATAATCGATCGCTGTAATCGATTAAGATCAACCAACGGACAAATCATTTATACTGTACGGTACTGATTAAATCCATATTTCCGGAATTGAAAAGGGATAACTTCCGAGAGATATGTTTTGCTATTTCCAATTTTTCTGTCTTGTCTTAATATCGGCCGCCCCCACAGTATCAGTAACTGCCATCTAGAGAAAGATTTAAAAAGTATCTTCTTAAGATCCACGTGAAACAATTTAGCACTAATGTACGTATACAATGACAGGTGGCGCAGATGTAAATTACTAAAACTAACACTGAACATAACTCTTTCATTAACATGAAATTATACTTTACCACTATATTTAAAATTCTATTGATGGGTCATGAAATCATATATTTGAATGTACTCAATGTCAGCATCATTTTCTAATACAGAACATTAATATTTCTGCTTTTTCAGTACAACTTGACTGTAAAAAAAATTTGGGAACAGTTTGTAACGAGAAGTAGATTGAGGGCTAAGTTCATGTATTTTTTTACTTCTTATAAATGTCCTTATGAAGAATAAGATAAATTTATAATTTCCTCTTCAATTATTTTGTAACATATATAAGTATTAGAATAGTGTATATACATGTCGCAGAAAATAATCTTTTTTATATATTCGCTTATTCTTTTACTATAGCTATTATTTATTTATTTATTGGATTGAACTGGACAATTGTTAAAATCGTAGACTCCTTTACGGTTAAAATTAAGGCATGATACTTTTACTTTAAGGTAGCAACACCCAACTAAAAAAGTTATATACAAACAACATGGTGGATCAGCTGTTTTCATTTTTCTGCTGCAATAAATTGTTTCTATAAAAGAAGCGTTGTATGGTCACATAGCCATGTGTGAATTAAAATGGGCTCCATCGCATCGGTGCTGCAATGGCATTGTCAGGCGTGCGGTCAAATCAACCCAACAGAGAGTGTGAAATGTTTAAAATGTGGTACAAAGAGAATTTCGAGTCATGACAGTGGTTCACAAAAACGTTATTTTACGGGGGATTCGTCGTCAGAATACGCTTCTCGGACAGAAAAAAGCGGTGGTACGACACCTGGCTCGGAGACTATTGCCATACCGACGACTAGTAACTTCAATAGGTTCGTATTTTTTAAGAATATTGACAATCCGACCATTGTTGGTAATGTCACAATTTATCGATTTTCTCGTCCTATATTTAGGTTATGATTTCCATTGTATTGTTGTGTTATGTGTATGTAGACGGAGTTCATTATCGGAACAACCGCTTTATGTGTCTATTTTGGTTGCCGTATGTCATTATTTGACCCCATATGTAGCTTTTACCCTTGTATACATTTGTAAGATATAGGTAGGTAGTGGGTTGATTGGTGATTGCAGTCTAGCTTTTTGTTCTCCAACTTATGTTTGCCACCTTTTTTGTATTTCTCAATTTTCTCACACATTCTAGCTGAAGTCTGCATTAGTAAAGACTTCTATGCTCATACAAACTTAACTCTTCTATAGTCATGCAAACTAAACTTTTTTTAAAGCTTTTATATACGAATAAGTTTTTCGTCATAAAAATATAATAAGAAAAAAATTACCAGTTAAGGGGGCTGCCGATAGAAGGGAAAACTTAAAATTATAAAATAACAACAGCTTTCTTGGAAAATTTTCTAATTGAATAATTCTGAAATCAAAAATTAAAATGTCTAGTTTAAAGTAAGACAACAATTCTGATCATCGAATATAGGCTGATTGCAGATGAAAGAATATAAAAAAAAATTTAGTTGTAATTAACATTATTCTGATTTTGGCACTTATTTGTACTCTGAGTGACAATTGTGTACATTTTTTATTTATGTAGTTTTTATAGTTTTTATATTAGGGGACATAAAACACTATGTTATACATTTATAAAAAACATAGTAGCAGTATTCATAACAGTATTTGATGTTGAATCAAACCAAAATAAGATATAGTTAGAGAAGTTATTGGCTATGGTATTTTAATTCTACTTTACATGACTATCATGGTATGAAAATGTTTTACTTGGAGCAGGATAAATTAAAAAAAATTAGCTTTGAGCAGGATAAATTAAAAAAAAGTTGAATGTTACACTGTTAATTTGATATTGTTATTAAACTTTTTAATGAATATTGTCTTAGATGATTCCCAGTGAATTGAAAAATATTTGTAAATTTGTTATTAGTATGTTAATTAAATGTCTTCTTAAGTTAGTAATTGAGTTGTAACCATATATAAGTTGTTTTGACAGCTATATTAATTATTTGTACCCCATTTTGAAAATATGTCCTGACAATAGTATATAGCTTTTTTTTTCTAAGTTGTCTAATTTAAGCCGTGTGTACAGGACAATGTTTGTCTGGTCTGCTAGTCTATATAATTATATATATTAGCTACCACATGACAAATTAGCTATACACTGAGCATGAGATAGTGAGCACTTAAAATTGCAATTAACAAATTTCAGTGACACAGGGATTCAAACTCTAGTTCCTTGTGTATGGCTAGCATGAGCTTCAATGGAGTTTGCAAGCCACAGTAATAGTGCCGTGCTTTCCAAATTGGCTAATTAGAAATAAATTAGTGATTCATGATGCTAAAATGAACAAAAATAAGGGAAGATTTATGCGCTAACTGTTCTTGTTAAATGAACAGGGAATCCCCCCTGAAAATCGAATACAGTCCTATTTGTCTGGATTGACTTGTCTGGTGGAATGCTTTATGAAATTGGCTACAGCATTCGTTGTTGGACAACCTTGCTTCTCTTATTTTGATCCAATTAGCGTGTGGAGTAGTGACCCTGCCTCCTGCACGAGAGGGTGTGGGTTCGATCCCCACTACTGGAAAAATATTGTGTGATGAAAATCATGTTTTTCCAGTATCTGGGTGTTTATATATTAATTATAATATGTGTTTATTTACAAAGGAATAGTATGTTTAAGTATGTTTATCAGTTTTCTAGTACATATAGTACAAGTGTTGCTTAGTTTGCGATTCTCTAGCCCCGTTATATAAAAATGTGTGAAATATTTATTTATTTACGGTGTGCTTGCATATAAACAATTGTCTGCTCTGTGCAGCGGATGGTCGTGTGTGGGTTCGGCGCCGCTGGCACGGCGCGCTTGGCGCTGCGGATGCGGTCTCCGCAACGTGTCCGCGGCCTGGCGTTGCACTGCATGCGACGCACTCGCGCCACATGCGCCTGTCTACAGGTGCGTGCGTGCATGCATGCATGCGTGCGTGTGTGTGTGTCTTATAGAAGCCGTGTCTGAATTGAATATGTTTTATGTAATGATCGGGAATTTACATGAAACGTAAGTTCATGTGTGATGCAAGATTCTTAAGATGACAATGTTAATTGTTAAACAATATGGACTTTATTTGTATTAACTCCAGTTAGTTCATTCAGATCTTTACTTTGTGGATAACCACGTCATTTAATTCCACACTGAAAATCAGAGCTGTAGTCTTGTTTCGACTGCGGCATTAAGCTGAGTGCAGTCCGTTTGCCGTATACGCTACACACAAGTGTGTGTACAACCTGTGGTGTATGTTTCATAATTATTTTTTTCTATAAAAAAAATAGTAATTTTTTAATGTTAGAGATCGAAGCCTTTAAAAATAATTAGGTTAAGAGATTTCTCTAAGTTTTATTAAAAGGAATTTTGTTCAATGTCCCAATATATCTTTTGTAAATCTTACACACACCATCGAAATATAGATGTAATAAATATACTATGTTATAAAAACTTCTTTGGCATTATCCTAATAACAATTTCAGTTACTGTTTCTGTGTCAGTGTCACAATACAGGACAGGCCTTGGAACTGTTGCATCGGTTTTATTAACATTAATTATTTTCATTTACAGACTATCTGATGACGAGGATCAAGCTACAGGGATGACGGAAAAGGATAAATTGGCTCAAGGTGATTCACATTTCAAATAAAAGAAAAATTTCAAATATAATAAAAAAGTAAATAATCATAGTTCTGAGTTCTTTTTAATCAAAATGTATGCTAATAGTTTATTAAGTTGGTTGGTTGCAACCCATACAAGCTAGTGTATAAAAAGGACACATTTGATTGCTTACTTAATCAATTATAATCCTCCTTATCCCAACGAGGTGGTGTTGGCTAATGTGATTTTTTTTAATGTCAGAAGTTGGTAACCACGCTGGCTGCTCACCTGATGTTAAGTGATAACCGCCACCCATGAATATTTGCAACACCCGTAAAGTTGCAGATGCGTTGCCACCTTTTAATAAAGTGCTCCCCGGCTACCTCACCAAAGGAGACACTTTACTTCACGGCAGTCTTCTCTGATGTACTTCTGGTACTTACCCAGACAGACCTGCCTATTTGTGCAACAGCTGAAATTGTTGTCATGTCGTAAACGGCTTTGGCAATGTTTTTTTACTACCGGCCGCCTGGCGTCTACCCTTCTTGAGAAATGTTTAATTAATCTATCATCGTTCGCTTTCAGACAACACCATGATCCGGTCCAACACCCTGGCGGTGCCCTCCTACAAGCCCTCGTCCAGCTGCTCGGACGGCCGCCGGCTGTCCCCCACCCAGCTGACGGAGCAGGCGCACGGCGTCACCAGGTCCCTCTCGCACGGCTCCGTGATCAGCTCGCAGCAGAAGTGGTGGGGCGCCGAGGAGCCGCGCGGCGCCATCAGCCGCCCCACCAGCCTGATGGTCGCCGAGCGCTACGGGCCCAACGCCGCCCAGGCCAACCCGCGCGAGTCCTTCCTGCGCAGCCTGCACACCGTCACGCGCAAGAAGCGCTGCGACGGCAGCAAGTCCAACTGGGAGCTGGACTACGTGAAGGACTACCAGCGCGAGCAGGGCAGGGCGCCCCACCTGAAGAGGTGGGCGTGCGCGAAGTGCACCCTCGAGAACTCCGGGATAAGGAGCCACTGCGAGGCGTGCCTATCGCCCAGGGTGTCCCCGCTGTCCCGGATCTCGAACACCAGGGGCTTGAGCGTGACCACCCTAGGCAGACACGAGACGGCGAGCGGCAGGGACGGCGCGACGTCTCTACCCACCTCGGGCGGAGTGATGATCACCGTGCCCGACTGGCCGCAGACCGCGTCAACGCTCGGCGAGTCGCGCCGGAAGTCCGTTTCGGCTCAGAACTCACCGGAAACCAGGCCCAACTACCGCCGCTCATTCTCCGAGCACGCCGACCACCGGCCCGTGGGCAAAGTGATCTCCAGCCGACGCAGCCTCGACAAGTCTCTGGAGGGCCCGCCGAAGGGGGAGAGCGAGAGGCAAGAGGAGGCTGGCTCCGAGCTGATCGACAAAGAGTGCAGCTGGGACACGAACGCCGAGGGCGTGATATACGCGCTCCCGAACAAGGGCAAGTACAAGGACCTCAATCTGCAGCTGCAGGTGAACAGCAACGGCACCCGCTACTCGTACGTCTCCGTCCAGGACGTGAGGACGGTGATGAGCAACTGCCAGAACGAGGCGCTGTACTCGAACGACACCGGGGACGGAGACTACGCGAGGATCGACGAGCTCCTCAGCTCGGAGAACTGCGTCTCGCCCCACCAGCAGAAGGAGGCGAAGGTGTTCAACATGCTGCCGTCTATCGGCAAGGTGTCGCACCCCCGCGAGCCCACCAGGCCGATCCCTCAGCAGCAGCCGGGGTGAGTGGGACTTTTGAGGTTTCCGATGAGCTCGACTGGGTTGGGACGATTGTGTTCTTAGAACCTTCCTATTCGTATATAAATAAGTACCGATTGACAAAAAACAGATGATTGATTGGTAAAGGTGATAAACGAAATGCCGCAACTTTTATTTCTTTCCAGACGCACACTGCAAGTTGGGTCAGTGACCATTTTACTGTTATACTCCTTACTGTAAAAATCTAACCTAAAATTAACAGGAACGAGTGTTATAAAACCTACTTGGAAAGAAAAAACTAGAAGTGTCTGTGAAGTAATATCTATTCTTTTATAAATAGCCTTCCCTCGCTCAATCACATAGTCTTGTTCGCCTACCGTCGCCATCACGCTCGCCCAATATAAACGAAGTCATGTCCATGTTTGCAAATAGCCTCCCCTCGCTCGATCACATAGCCCCGTCCTGCTCGCACGCCTGACTATGCCGCACCCTTCCATAGCGCATTCCCGATTGCCCAATATCCCATTCACGCATCGTTCGCCTTCCCGCCAACTCTAGCCCCGTCCACGCCCACCTATCCAATCATATATGGCTCTCGCTCGCTCCGCGTAGTGCCGTCCCGCTCACACGCATCCGTGCCCGTTGCAGGGCGCGCATGTGGCAGTGTGGCGAGTGCTGGTTCGCGTACAACGCGTGGGGCGCCCGCTGCGACGTGTGCCGCAGCGCGAGGCCGCCGCACGCCGTCACGCTCGCCGCGCACACGGCGGACCGCGACCGGGAGAGGGAGAGGGAGCAGCGCGCTAGGTGAGTGGGCTGGAGAGAGAGAGAGAGAGAGAGTGAACGAACGCGGCGCTCAGGCGAGTAGGAGAGAGATGGATGATACCGATGTAGGGGGAGTGGGAAGCGGCGCAGCACGCTAGGTGAGGTGAGTGGGCTGGAGAGAGAGAGAAATAAAGTGAACAAACGCGGCGCTCAGGCGAGTAGGAGAGAGATGGATGATACCGATGTAGGGGGAGTGGGAAGCGGCGCAGCACGCTAGGTGAGGTGAGTGGGCTGGAGAGAGAGAGAAATAAAGTGAACAAACGCGGCGCTCAGGCGAGTAGGAGAGAGATGGATGATACCGATGTAGGGGGAGTGGGAAGCGGCGCAGCACGCTAGGTGAGGTGAGTGGGCTGGAGAGAGAGAGAGATAGAGTGAACGAACGCGGCGCTCAGGCGAGTAGGAGAGAGATGGATGATACCGATGTAGGGGGAGTGGGAAGCGGCGCAGCACGCTAGGTGAGGTGAGTGGGCTGGAGAGAGAGAGAGATAGAGTGAACGAACGCGGCGCTCAGGCGAGTAGGAGAGAGATGGATGATACCGAGTTAGGGGGAGAGGGAATGGGATTAGCGCGCTGCGTGAGTTGGTTGAAGCGAGAGAGAAAGAGAGCGCCTTAAGTGAGTGTGAGAGAAAGTCGATGTGGTGAATGTTTAGTGGGATGGGGAACGGTAACGGCAACGGTATACTAGTTGGATTAGTTATGGAGAGGGAAAAATAGAGAGGGGGCAGCGCCCTATTTGAGTAGTAGTGAGATATTGAGTAGGAGCAGCATGCTAGGTGAGTGAGTTGAAGCGAGAGAACGAATACAGCGCTCAAAGTGCGTGGGAATGAGATGGTCGATGGAATGAGATGTAGAACGAGACGGAATGGGACTAGCGTTCTAGTTGAGTATGTTAAAGCGTGAGAAAAGGAGAGAATAAGGGCAACGCTCTACGTGGGTATAAAAGAGATAATTAATGCTGTTGTAGAGGAATATGGAACGGCAGCGGAAGTAGCGTGCTCGGCGAGTTAGTTGGAGAAAGAGAGAATGAGGAAAGCCTATGTGCGTGGGAAGGATATAGTTGATTCTGATGTGTTTAGACAACTAAAGGTCAGAGATTGGTTAGTGAAGATGCGACTACACTGACTAAGATGAGATTCTTAGGATGGATTATTGATTTTTGGCCCGACCCTAAGAAGAAGAAGAAGAAGAAGAAAGAAAGAGACACAACTCTCATGCATTTGTCGTCGAATCGAAAGTCGTCCTGTTTTCTACAAATTTAATATTTCATGTTAAGTTCGGATATTGGCATTATAAAAATTTTAATTTCACTCTGGGTTAAACTATAGGATAGGGGTCAATTTCGCATTTCTGCCATGGTGACATGCTACCCTGAACTGTTACAGTCCAAGGCCCTCTCTGTCAGAGGCCTCCGGATTGAAGCAGGAGACCAGTCGGAGCGAGCCCCCCAAGAAGCTCCAAGTGCCAATAGCCTCCCTGGACCACGATCTCAACAGCGATGAGTTGCTGTTCGCAGTGGGTGAGTTTAATTTGTCCTCTCAATATTTATCTGGCCTGGTAAATGAATAAGTAATTTCTTTGTCCAGATTTCAGTAAAGCGATTAAATTCATGCTGATAGACTAGTAGGATAAATTGAGTATATGATCTAAAAACATATTTACTGTTAACATCACTTTATTGAATCATCTTTGATGATGATTAATGTGAACCTTCAACTATTGTGGGTTTATTATCTTTACCTTTTCATGTTATAATTAATTAATGCACTTTGGCCTGTAACATTTACACTGGGTTAAGTTTGGTATAGGTCCGTAATTAGTCCGTAATGAGTGTGACTCTTAAAACTTAAACCCATCGACTCTCGAAAGCCGTGGCCGTAAAAAATCAAGATACCAAAGCTTTACTCTTGAAATGAGAGGTGTTGACGGTGTTCAGACTCGTAGAAGAAACGTTAAAGTATAAGAACCGTCACATTACGCTTTTCTTTGTGGCCGGTACTTTTCCGGCGATTCTTGGACCTAGAAAGCCGAGCCCTTCGGCTGGCCAGTTGGGGCGTGCCCTCGGCTCAGGCCTCTCACCTTTACTATTTATTTAGTACGAAAACAACACCTTATATTAATAAATTACAATACCAGAATAAAGCCAATTTTTGTTTTCTCATAGAATTACAAAAATATGGAAGGGCCTCACAACAGTCTCTGTTCTCTGTTACACTATTGTGCACTTAGTAGCTATTACCAAAAATTCACTGAATGCCGACGTAAAGTTGAAATGTTACACTTCTGCGGTTCGTCTGGTGAGTGAGGTAGCCGGGGCCCAAAACGCATCAGCAACCCTATGGATGATGCAAATGTCAATAGCCGCCCATTGGCGCCGGCACGTTTGCCACTTTCTCAAAAGAGAAACTATTTGAGCAACTACAATATTGTGGAACTGTGTTACAATTTACAAGACAAGTAACGATTTACCAAGTTATAATACATAACTATAACACATGACATTAATTAAACACTATATTATATGCATATTTGTCAAATTGTGAATTCGGCCGTTCCGTGTGACCTTGCCACTTGCCAATTCCTACGATTCGGCTTGATGCCTCGGTACTTCCCGGGCGACTAAGCCTTTGGTCCTGACCGTGGGGGGCATGCCTGTGGGGGGGGTTCCCCCGCCGCCCTACATTGGGCTGTCGTGACGTAAGCGTGGTGTGCCTGTGGGGGGGGGGGGGGGGGTTCCTCTCGCCGCCCCACGTGGGGCTGTCGTGACGTAAGCGTGCAGTGTCCGGAACAGATGCCGGCTCGTCGGCGTCGGCCACGTGGCCCTGCGCCCGCTGCACCCTACTCAACGAGCCGACAGCCGCCGAATGCGCCGCCTGCCTAGCCGCCCGCCCCGCCCCCCAGAACTACTGGTAAAGTGACAGCCCATTAATATATCCTTACTATCCTTAATAATAATATTATAAAGGCGAAAGTTTGTGTGTATTGACGGACGTTTGTTACTGTTTCACGCAAATACTACTGAGTGGATTTTAATGAAACTACATTAATATAGCTTATACATACAGAATAACACATAGGCTATAATTTATATACATATTTTTATGTTCTACGCAGACGTAGTCGCGGGCAGCAGCTAGTAAATAAATAAACATTTTTACACATCGTCCTCTAGTCCCAAACTAAGCAACGCTTGTACTATGGGTACTAGATAACTGATAAACATACTTGAACATACTTTTCTTTTGTAAATAAATACATATTATACATGTATAAACCAGACATTAGAAAAACACTATGTACATCACACAATATTTTTCCAGTAGTGGGGATCGAACCCACACCCTCTGAAGCAGGAGGCAAGTACACTACCCACTATACCATTAGGGTCGTCTTATTCATAATATTATATCAATAAACATCAATTTACTAAATAACTTTATAAATGTGACATTACATTTCGGTCTTTCAGCAACCGATAAAATTGTAGATATAAAATTTACACTACCCATTACGCCATTCGTGTCGTTGAAATGTCCCACTGCTGGGCAAAGGTCCTCTGTACGGTTCTCTGTACAGAGTCCACGACGCGACCGCACCGCGCTGCGGATTGGCGGACTTCACATGTATTTATTCCTCACACGATGTATTCCTTTACCGCTGAGCACGTGATAAGTCAGCACAATTAATAATTCATTGGTGCTGGCACCGGGGATCGAAATAGAATTAAAGGCGAGCGCCCGGACATTGAGCTATCATTTAAATTTTCACTACCGGGTCAGAGTTCGCATACCATTTATCATCTTAACAAGGGTATTTCTGATCTGATCGCTGCCATCTTCATAGAATCACGCTGGTCTAATCTGATAATTGCCTTATAGTATAGTACAGCCTTTACAGTGGAGGCTTTTGGCCGACGCTATATTGGCCGAAAATTTCTTTGAAATCATTCCAGCCGCTTTCTCGTCTATATACATAAACGCAACTATTTTAATGTATAATTATATCCATAAGATTGTGGAGTTGTGGCAGAAACTCGTCATAATCGTGTGCGTGCGTGCTCAGGTCTTGCAGTTCGTGCACGCTACGGAACCCCGTGGCAGAGACGCTCTGCATGGCGTGCAAGACCCCGCCCGTGCCACGCCACGCGGACTCCGAACACCCAGCCGGTATGGATCTTACAAATGTTCATATATCTCATTGACCATAGCCCAGACCTCGTGATGTCGGCAGGAGACATCATTTAGAAGGTGGCTACTGACGGTTCTCCTGATGTCGAATGATTACCGTTGCCAACAGTTGAATAAACTGGGCCCCAGCTACCTCCACCAGTATACATCCACAGTATACTTCCACAGAATGCTTCCACAGCATACTTCCACAGAATACTTCCACAGTATACTTGTAATTCACTTCGATCTTCTGCCAGGTCGTGCTACTTCTCCAGTGCTGATACATAGCCCGCCCATTTGTGCAAGAAGCCGCTGCGTGGCCCTACCACAGAATAACCAATCGCAGCTCGATTCCATTGGCCTTTTTTATGTGAAAGGTGGTAAGCGAGCAGGCAGTTCATCTGATATAAAGTGATTACCGCCGTCCATGGACATTGCAACACCCGTAGGGTTGCAGATTCGTTGCCAACCATTAAAAAGGAAAGCATACTACTTCCACTTCACGCCGGTCTTCTGTACATCCGCGGTACATCCCCTTAAGAGCCTGCCCATTCGTGCAACAGCGTGAGCTGTCGCGTGGCCCCACCGTAGTTTTCCACGTGCGTTTCCACAGCGCTGCACGGCGCGGACGCCCTGGCGGGGCGCAGCCCCTCGCCGAGGCGCAGCCGCCACACGCCGGCGCTGCCGCGGCGCGGCTCCCGCCACAAAACCCCACCGCCCGAACCCAAGTAAGTGGCACCGGACATCATGTGTCCAAAGTGAGTCGAACTCTAGGTTTTTGAGTTATGAATATTTTTTGCTGCCATACCACGCTTTTATGAGTTGTGGCATCCCAATCATCTTTCCTGATGGTAACCCCCAACTGTCTTCTCTATTGAAGTTAGGATTTTTTTTTTTTTTTACTTTAACTGATATTTTTGCTTTCAGTCCGTAGACTATTAAAGCTAAACTGTTACGGTTTTGTAGGGTCGTGCATGAGGAATCGGAAAAAAAGATCAAAAATGACCTACGCCTGTATCATCATATATTTGCGTATCATCCATTATTAAAAAGAAGTGTGCCCCGGTCACCTCACTCACCGGACGAAACGTGAAACTATAATATGCTTCCTCGGCCTGCCCGTTCGTGCAACACCACCGTGTTCCTACCACAGTCGGGTCTGCCGGGCTATTGTCTTCAATCAGCTGCCATTCAGGATGGAACCGTTGTCCCGGACAGAGTGGAGGCCGAGTGGGCGTGCTCCGAATGCACGTACGTGAACGCGCCGGCGGCGGGCAGCTGCGACATGTGCCGCTCGGCGAGGAGCCGCCTGCTGCCCGCGGCGGCGAGGACCGACGACGACGACGACGACGGTGAGACCCTCGGACCTCTTTGACCTCTCCGACCTCTTTGACCTCTCCGACCTTTTTGACCTCTCCGACCTTTTTGACCTCTCCGACCTCTTTTACCTCTCGGGCCTCGCGAATAGCTTTCTGTTCGAGACGGTAGCGGCCTTTGAGTTTTTTCGTGGCCCCTCTGACCTCGCGGATCTCTATTTGGGAAAGCCGTTGCCTCGGGGCCTCTCGTAGCCTCTCGGAGCTCGCTAATTGCTTCTGGTTTGAGAAGGTCGCGGCCTCTGGGTCTTTCGTGGCCTCTCGGATCTCGTGAATAGCTTTCTATTAGAGAACGTGGCGGCAATCTTCTACTTTTTCGGTTTACGGCTGATACAGTTCTGTCACTAATAGAACTAACAAACCTTAAGCGGTTGCTTTTCTCATTATATACCGTTTCGGCTGCTCAGTCCTATCCATTCGACAGCCTTAACTGTTCCGGCAGACCCTTCGGCTCTTTAGTTCAGATAGATTGTCTGATCTTATCGCATCCGTAACCCTCGGGTGTGGCAGATGTCCATGGGCGGCGGTATTCAATTAACATCAGGTGAACCGTCTGCTCGTTTGACAACTTTTCGCATAAAACAAATAAATCTTGATCTCACATATCACGTTTGGAGTGAACTTTAAGAATATTAACTCACCATATTGTATCTTTTAACATATGCCAAGAACTTTTTCTTTTAGTTCTAGCAGTATATCAGTTCTGTCCTATTTTTCCCAGCAGAAGACTCCGATACGGACGGGCAAGAGAGCACACCGATGGAGATCTTGCGTTTGAGGGAGGAGAGTCACGCGTGGACCCAGTGGCAGGAGGTTCTGGCCCAGTGCTCCGCTGTGAGTAATTGTTTGTTTTTAAATGCATCTGTGGTAAATTAATTACGGTTAATTTTTTAAAAAAACTTTTAAAATCTTGAAGATGCATCATCATCCTCACTGGCCATTTACTACTTCGCTCGCGGTCGGCACAAAGTGTGAATCTTGTTAGTGGTATTGACTAGATATTTGGGCGGCCGGTCGCCTGCCTGACATCAACCCACTTTGGGAAAAGCACTGCGATCTGGAACAATTGTCTATAAATCACACTTAGGTTTTACGTGGAATCGAAACACGATCCCTGGCATAGGCCAGTAGCTTACAACTTCATTGTTTTGGACAATTGTAAAAGATACTTCAATTGGTGAAATCACCTGAAAATACTTGTATTGGCAAGAACAATTGTAAAAGATACTTCACTTGGTGATAGGCGTGAGACTGAATGATTTTATTATATTGTACGTATCCGGTTTGAAGGACCAATAAAAATTGTTCCTCTATGCTAAACGTTGGACACGGCGACATGTCAGTTGTAAACCGTTCCGTCGAGTTTTAGTCTCTAACGGTCACGCCTGACTTCATATAGCAACTTAACTTGTAAATGATTTAATTCAACTATCAATATTGAGTTTCTGTGTAAAAGAGATGAACATTCAGCTTGAAAAATGCATTTGTTTGAAGAAAATCAACGCGTGTTCGACTATACTACCCAGTGGGACTGTTACTTGAATTTAATGCTAATTCCGCTTGTCGAAATTTCCGGGCGCGGTTAAGCTGAAAGCATGTAGGGGGTTGTTCCCGATGAAGTGAGGTGTGCTTGCAGACGGGCGAGCCGTACGTGGACGAGTCGTTCCCGGCGGCGGCGCGCTCGCTGTACTACGGGGGCGCCGGTGGGGGCGCGGCGGGGGCGGGGGGCGGTGCTGGGGGCGGGGGCGGAGGGGCGGCGGAGGGCGGGGCGGCCGCGCGCTGGCTGCGCCCGCACCAGATCAGCGTGGACGCCGACCCGCGGCTGCCCTGGGTGGTCTTCCGGGACCCGCGCCCCTCCGACATCTCGCAAGGTGATCCGACACAGATGCGCTCGCCGACCCGTTCGTTGCTCAGAACTCTTGTTCCCTAGGTGACTCACTTCTGAGGCGCTCACTGACCCTGTCTTAGCTGAGAACTGTTCCCAAGGTGACCGAATTCGGATGCTCTTAGCGACTCGGTCGTTATTCGGGACTGTTCTCAGAGACCCACTTCAGATGCGCCCAACGAACCGGTCTTTGCTGGGGACTGTTCCCAAGGTGATCGAATTCCGATCGTGGCTCATAAATGCTCCCCAGGTGACTCAATTCCGATGAGAAGAAGGGTTTGATGAGATAGGAGCCGAAACGTCGTCTGCCAGAGTTGCATGAGAGAGGGGAGGTTGAAGCGTTTCGTCTGTTGAGTGGAATTATCGAGGCCCACCTTTGTAAAGGTTGGCAAAGATAATGAGAACTAAAGAAGGGAGATGGCTAATGGTTGACAACGCTCGCTTGTCATTTTTTTTCCATAAAAAAAAAAAAGAAAAAGGTTGGGTCAACTGAAGTAGGATTTTATTAAATAAGAACAGAAACAACAGTTACCAGGGTTGCATAAGAGAGAAGGATTGAAAACGCGATGAGGCAGTCGCTTGCCATGTTATAAAAAAAAGGGGAGCAGAATCAGAAGATATCAGGCTACCACGGTTGCATAAGTAAGTGGAGGTCGGTGCAGGTGTGCTGGGCAACTGCTGGTGGCTGCTGTCGGCGCCCACCTCACTTGCAACCTTATCACATAAAAAAAAGAGAGCCTAAACGGCAGCTATCCGGCTACCAGGGTAGCATAAGCGAGTGGAGGTTGCCGCAGGTGTGCTGGGCAACTGCTGGCTGCTGTCGGCGCTGGCGGTGCTGGCCGAGCGGTCGGCGCTGGTGCGAGGAGTGCTGGTGCGCGGTGAGCCCTCGCGCGGAGCCTACCAGCTGCGGCTGTGCAAGGACGGCCGCTGGCTCACCGTCACCGTCGACGACCTGCTGCCGTGCAACAAGAAGGGGCAGCTGGTCTACTCGCAGGTCTATTCAAACATCGCCCCTATTGTAACGTAACATTCGGCGATCGCAACCAAGTTCTTGCTCGAAGCCTTTTTGTTTTTTTTGAAGTGTAAACTGCTTTAGTTGGGCAATTTTTAATGTGGAAAGGTTAGGTCGCGTGACCTTAGCGTCGCGGACATGCTAATGTTTGCTAAAAGTTTTATATTGAAAATTAGGCTTAATATATTAAAACATGGCAACGCATCTGCGATCCTACGAGTGTTGCCAATGTCCATGGAAGGTCGTTATCAATTATCATCATGTGAACCGCCAGCCATCTGCCATCTTCCTAAATAAATAAAGAAAACCGAATGTTTCTAATATATGTAAAAAAAATTCTAGTTGTTCGATAGTATTTTTGTTTGAAACGAAAAAAATCCACTGCAAAGCGTGGCCGGGCTCGGCTAGTGTTTTATAAATTAGTATAGTAACACGATACTTACCTTTTAATTCCACACTTCTGTGGGTAAGACTTGAACAATTTAAATAATCACACGTGGCAGGCCCGAAGAATAATGAATGAATGAATGAATGAATGAATGAATGAATGAATGACTATACTTCATTGCACACACCATGTGATGAAAATAAATTAAAAAGAAGTGAGGAAGAATGAGGGATTATATTTCTATTAAATATTCCAGGCGAAGAGGAAGCAGCTGTGGGTGCCGCTGATCGAGAAGGCGGTCGCGAAACTTCACGGATGCTACGAGGCTCTCGTGTCTGGCAGAGCTATTGAAGGTGCGTAACCGTCTGTAGCTGTCAGGAGGTTGGTCTACTGTAGTGTCACCTTAACATTTTTGGTCCTTCCGTAGCCGGATATTTCAAACTCTAACTAAAACATAACTTTACAATAGAACCAGCACAAATATAGCCCCTTCCAGAGAACAAATTCAAACTTTAAAATGGTAGGGAATGTACTCTACTATTTTGAATAGTAAATAAATCTGAATCTATATAAATACTACCAATTACGATATGTAGATTCTATGATACACAATATATTGGGATGTAGACAGTATCAGCGTCTTTAATTTTCCTCAATTTAATATCTGCCCATTCGAAGTCTGGAAGTATTATACGTACCAAATGTGCCTTCAAATAAAACAAAAACGTGTGTGTGTGTATGTTTGTATGCACGTGAAAAGTTATACTTCTTTAGTGTAACAAACGAAAAGTAAATTAAAATTTTATCCCGTGTGCTCTTCGTTTGTGAAAAAAAAAAGACATAAAAACATAAAATTGATAACGGCTTAAACGACTAGTGTCGAATAGCTCTTATTCGTTGCCATGGTAACACCGTGAGGTGGGTGTCGCTTTTTGGGTGTTGCGCGTCGTCTAAATTCAGTCTCTCATCATTTTTACCAAACGCGCCAAAAGAAGTATAATTTCAATAATAAATTAATTAATTAATTTATTTTTGCTACACCAACAACATGAATACTACATTTAGACGATTTATACGTAATATGTTAATATCGAGCTTAGTGAGTGCCATCTCAATTATAGGTGCAAACCACAATGCTTTAAATTGAACAACACAAAAACTTTAAACTATTTAAAAAAAAAAAAGAGGAACATTTGCCCATATAGGATACGGACCCCTGCTGTTCCAGGTCTGTGCACCTTGACGGGGGCGCCGTGCGAGTCGGTGTCGCTGCAGGCGGGGGGCGCGGGCGGCGCGGGGGGCGGCGGCCCGCTGGAGCAGCTGGACCGCGACCTGGTGTGGGCGCAGCTGCTCTCCTCGCGGCAGGCCTGCTTCCTCATGGGCGCCAGCTGCGGCGGCGGCAACATGAAGGTCCGGAACCTCCTTCGCGGCTCCTTGCCGGTCACGGTCTAGTGGACAAACATGGTCTAAGGGTGTCGGTGAAGATTGTTGAACTGGGTCTGCCCTCGTATTGAAATGAATAGGTCACCAATATTCTGCGATGGTTTGGTCATTTGCGAGCCTTAGATTTGTCCGTATGGTAAGAAACCACTTCTTCGTAATTTACGAAGTTATTGGTCTGGTTGAAGAAGTGCCCTGTACAAAGCTAACGAGTGTTCAAGAGTTCGGTGGCCAGAGGCCAAGGGGGTCATGAGCCCAGCTCTCGTAGCAGACCTGGTCTGCGTGCTGGCCCACTTGCCGCGTTTCGGCCTCGGAGGATAGGGAGAACGGCATATCGCAATACCGACACTCCTCTGCCCCCATGGTCCCACGTGGTGGAGAGAATTGGGATAGTACCTTACTCCGCTACCAACCTCCTGCCCGCATCCTTTTATAACGCACCATAGGCCTCATGCCATAAGGCAGCCCAGTGTGGTTTCCTCTCGATGGGTGACCAAGCCACGGCTCCCGTTGAGCGGGACGATGTCCTCCCCCGCACGCGTTGGAGGCATTAGACTACAATAGATCCACACTAATCAAAAGGTATTCCCTTGCAGGTGGACGAGGAGGAGTACCAGCGGCTGGGGCTGCGGCCGCGGCACGCGTACTCGGTGCTGGACGTGGTGGAGCTGTGCGAGGGCGGCGGGGGCCCGCTGCGGCTGCTGCGGCTGCGCAACCCCTGGGGCCACTACACGTGGCGCGGCGCGTGGGCGCACGCGTGCCCGCGCTGGAGCGACGCGCTGCGCCGCGCCGTGGCGCCGCTCGCCGCGCCCGACGACAGGGACCACGGCGTCTTCTGGATCGGCTTCGACGACGTGCTCAAGTGCGACACTGCTCTGTGCTCCCGTCTTTCGCACCGCCGCTCTGTGTCATTGCTCTGTGCCTATGTATTTCACACCGCTCCTCTTTGTCATTGCTCTGTGCTCCCGCATTTCCCATCGCTATTCTTTGTCATTGCTCTGTGTTCTAATATTTCCTACTGCCACTCTTTGTCATTGCTCTGTGTTCGAGTATTTCCTTCTGCCACTATTTGTCATTGCTCTGTGTTCGAGTATTTCCTTCTGCCACTATTTGTCATTGCTCTGTGTTCGAGTATTTCCCGCCGATACTCTTTGTCATTGCTTTGTGTTCGAGTATTTCCTACTGTCACTCTTTGACACTGCTCTGTGGTCACTGTTTCCCATCAGTTCTATGTTTCTATTGCGTTACACTTTCGTTGTGTACGACATTGCTCTGTGATTGAGTACTTCCACACCGTTATTCTTTCTCATTACTCTGTGCTTACTATTACTCATCACTACTTTGTTATTATTGCGGTGCACTTTTGTTGAATGCCAACTGGCTGTGTGCTCAAACATTACTCTATTCTTATTTTTTGGTGCATCACACTATATTTGTCTGTGTGACAAGGAATTCTTCATTCGTTCGTTCGTCGATTCGGTGGCAGGTACTTCGACTGCATCGACATCTGCAAGGTGCGCGTGGGCTGGCACGAGGTGCGGCTGGCCGGCATCCTGCCGCCCATGTGCTCGACGCGCCACCTCACCTGCCTGCTGCTCACGGCCAGCCAGCCCACCGAGGTGGACTTCACGCTGTTCCAGGAGGGCCAGAGGTCGGCATTGTGCATGCCTTGCCACTTGGGAAAATATTGTTTTATTTATTATTACCGCACCAAAAAGGTATTACTTATCTAATATTTTTTCGCTCGGTGATGATATCGACTGCTCAGTGCCTAGAGCGTAGAAAGAAAATATTAAGAAATTTTAACCTAGTTAAACGTTTATGACTAAAGTTATTTTAAGCACTCCACTCAAGATGAAACGACTAATGTGATTTATACTACATAAATGGTAATAAAGTATTGGATCTGCGGGATTTGGAACAGACGTCTTCCGGGTTGTCCGGAATAAGACAGCGCACAATCTCGTAACATATTTATGCCTCGAGGCAATTTATAGTCAAGAGTTCGCAATGAAGACATCCGCAGGCAATGGGCCAGTCCGAATTGCTCGAAGAAACGAAAATCTGTGCGGAAGAAAGTTTCACGAGTGACAGGCCCGTATTGGCCTCCGTAGTGTAGGACTACCTCCGCTAGATGGAGTGACGACCTGTACAAGTGTGGATGGATGCAGATGGCTCACGAGGTGCTTGATGACAGTCTGGGCCTAAGTTTGGCAGCGGACTCTCACAGTCAGAGATGATGATGACGAGACAATTTAATTTACAGAAACTCGGAGAAGAGCCAGAGGTCGCAGCTGGACCTGTGCGTGGTAGTGTTCAGAACGAAGTCCGGCACGAGTGCGCAGATCGGCAAGTTGGTGGCTCACAGCAAGCGACAGGTGAGGTGTTACCCTCTAAATATAACGCGTGAATATAATTATGTCACCCAGAGGGAAAGCCAACGATAATGCAAATTCCGTTTAGTCCGAATGGTCGATAGTTGCCCTCCCTTCTGCCCCAGTCTGGACCTGATCGTGTGCATTTGGTCTGAGTGTTCGCTTCGGCAGGTGCGCGGCTTCGTGGGCGTCCACAAGATGCCGGGGAAAGGGTTGTACCTGGTGGTTGCCTTTGGTCTGAGTGGTCGATAGTTCCCCTGCCTTCTGCCCTACCCTGTACGTGAGGGCTGCCTTTTATCTGTTCGCCTCGGCAGGTGCGCGGCTTCGTGGGCTGCCACAAGATGCTGGGAAAGGGTTGTACCTGGTGGTTGCCTTTGGTCTGAGTGGTCGATAGTTCCCCTGCCTTCTGCCCTACCCTGTACGTGAGGGCTGCCTTTTTTGTTCGCCTCGGCAGGTGCGCGGCTTCGTGGGCGTCCACAAGATGCCGGGGAAAGGGTTGTACCTGGTGGTTGCCTTTGGTCTGAGTGGTCGATAGTTCCCCTGCCTTCTGCCCTACCCTGTACGTGAGGGCTGCCTTTTATCTGTTCGCCTCGGCAGGTGCGCGGCTTCGTGGGCGTCCACAAGATGCCGGGGAAAGGGTTGTACCTGGTGGTTGCCTTTGGTCTGAGTGGTCGATAGTTCCCCTGCCTTCTGCCCTACCCTGTACGTGAGGGCTGCCTTTTATCTGTTCGCCTCGGCAGGTGCGCGGCTTCGTGGGCGTCCACAAGATGCCGGGGAAAGGGTTGTACCTGGTGGTTGCCTTTGGTCTGAGTGGTCGATAGTTCCCCTGCCTTCTGCCCTACCCTGTACGTGAGGGCTGCCTTTTATCTGTTCGCCTCGGCAGGTGCGCGGCTTCGTGGGCGTCCACAAGATGCCGGGGAAAGGGTTGTACCTGGTGGTTGCCTTTGGTCTGAGTGGTCGATAGTTCCCCTGCCTTCTGCCCTACCCTGTACGTGAGGGCTGCCTTTTATCTGTTCGCCTCGGCAGGTGCGCGGCTTCGTGGGCGTCCACAAGATGCCGGGGAAAGGGTTGTACCTGGTGGTTGCCTTTGGTCTGAGTGGTCGATAGTTCCCCTGCCTTCTGCCCTACCCTGTACGTGAGGGCTGCCTTTTATCTGTTCGCCTCGGCAGGTGCGCGGCTTCGTGGGCGTCCACAAGATGCCGGGGAAAGGGTTGTACCTGGTGGTTGCCTTTGGTCTGAGTGGTCGATAGTTCCCCTGCCTTCTGCCCTACCCTGTACGTGAGGGCTGCCTTTTATCTGTTCGCCTCGGCAGGTGCGCGGCTTCGTGGGCGTCCACAAGATGCCGGGGAAAGGGTTGTACCTGGTGGTTGCCTTTGGTCTGAGTGGTCGATAGTTCCCCTGCCTTCTGCCCTACCCTGTACGTGATGGCTGCCTGTTATCTGTTCTGTTCGGCAGGTGCGCGGCTTCGTGGGCTGCCACAAGATGCTGGAGAAGGGGCTGTACCTGGTGGTGTGCCTGGCGTTCAACCACTGGCACACGGGGCTGGAGGCGGGCGGCGCCAGCGGCTGGCCGCGGCACGTGCTGGCCGTGCACTCGTCGAAGCCGCTGGCCGTGCGCCGCCCGCCGCTGCACGCGCACCTGCTGGCCGACGCGATCATCGGGCTCACGCTGGCGCGCGGCCAGCGCCACGAGGGCCGCCAGGGCATGACGGCCTACTACCTCACCAAGGTCAGCTTAGGCTGGTGCCGTAGTCTCTCTCGACAGCTCTCGGTACGGCCAGCGCCACGAGGGCCGCCAGGGCATGACGGCCTACTACCTCACCAAGGTCAGCTTAGGCTGGTGCCGTAGTCTCTCTCGACAGCTCTCGCTACGGCCAGCGCCACGAGGGCCGCCAGGGCATGACGGCCTACTACCTCACCAAGGTCAGCTTAGGCTGGTGCCGTAGTCTCTCTCGACAGCCAGCGCCACGAGGGCCACGGCCTACTACCTCACCAAGGTCAGCTTAGGCTGGTGCAGTAGTCTCTCTCGACAGATCTCGCTACGGCTAGCGCCACGAGGGCCGCCAGGGCATGACGGCCTACTACCTCACCAAGGTCAGCTTAGGCTGGTGCAGTAGTCTCTCTCGACAGATCTCGCTACGGCTAGCGCCACGAGGGCCGCCAGGGCATGACGGCCTACTACCTCACCAAGGTCAGCTTAGGCTGGTGCCGCTTATTCCATGGCTCATGCTGCGGCCAGCGCTACGAGCGACGTCAGGTCATGACGGTCTACTACTAATGATGACATCTCTCGTTATAAACCTGGATTATAATGCTTACCGTGTCTGCATTCCAGGGTTGGGCGGGCCTGGTCGTGATGGTGGAGAACCGGCACACGGACAAGTGGATACACGTGAAGTGCGACTGCCAGGAGAGCTACAACGTGGTTTCCACCAGAGGCGAGCTGAAGACCATCGACTCCGTGCCGCCGCTACACAGGTATATACACACACGCACACTCCTACACTGCCATAGCAGTCGGGCTGGTGTGGGTGGACATGACCCGAGGGTTGAGGGCTGCATCGTCTTTCGGAACATGTGGCCTTGTTCTGCTCGGACGGTATGGTGATGAATTAAATGCATCCACACGCACACATGAATAAACTCATTCTGATGACTGCTACACGTCTCCACATACACGCATACGCACACGCACACGCACACGCACACGCACACGCCACACTCCTACACTGCTCTAGCAGTCGGGCAGGTGTAGGCTCGAGGGCCGCACCGTCGCCCAGGAGATGTGGAATTGTATCGGTTTGAACGGTACGGTGATGAATTTAGTGCACACACACACACACGCACACTTGAATACATTCAGCTCGACGATTGCTGTACTTCTTCAACGCATACGCCCACGCACACTCGAAAAGATGCAGCCTAATGATTATGTTGATTGCCACATCTCTCCAACAAAACCTTTTAAACTCACACACACTTGAAGAGATGTAGCCTGACGACTGCGTTGACGACTGCCACACGTCTCCACTCACATATGCCCACGCACACTTGGATAAATCCATGTCCTATGTTGATTGCCACACGTTTCCACGCACACACCTTCGCATACGCACACGCGGACAGAAGTAGCCTAGCGTCTGTGTCGACGACACACACGCCTGACGTGGGCCCCCTGCCCGGCTTGCCCCTTAGGCAGGTGATCATCGTGCTGACGCAGCTGGAGGGCAGCGGCGGCTTCTCGATCGCGCACCGGCTCACGCACCGGCTGGCGGGCGGCGCGCGGCTGCAGGACTGGGCGCCGCGCGAGCGCGACCACGAGCCGCGCCACCGGCCGCCGCTCGCGCGCCGCCTGCAGGGCCTGCACGCGCCGCGCCTCATCACCTAGCGCCGTCTCGCTCGCGCGCGCGCCCTCTCGCTCGCCCGGTGCCGTCCCGCTCGCACCGAGCGGGTGGCGCCGTTTACGCAGCCAAGCGCGACGTCTCGCTCGCGTCTACGAGGCGTCGCCGCCGAGTCTGTCGCCTGGAGCCGTCTGGATCGGAATCCACGCGTCGCCGCCGACTCAGTAACGTGTGTCGTCTCGCTCGCACTGAGCGGCGGCGCCGTCTTAGCGGCCACGCGTGACGTTCGAACCGGAATCCGCACGTCGCCGTCGACTTAATCACGTGTTCCGTCTCGCTCGCACTAAGCGAGTGGTGCCGTTAACGCAGCCACGCGTGCCGTCTCGCTCGCACCCGGACCCGGCCAATCGGCGCCGTCTCGCTCGCGTGTGGGAGGCGTTTCCGTCGCCTCAATCCTAAGTGGCGTCTACACAACTGCATGTGCGTTCACGCTCAGGGGCAGCGAAGCGTGTATCTCGCCTCGCTCGCAGCCAGCCACTCCGGCCGCTTCGCGCCGTCTCGCTCGTGCTTAGGGAGACGACGCACTAAGATCGCGTGCGCTGCCTCGCTCGCACTAAGGGTGTGTTGCCGTCTAACCAGCGCATGCTGTCTCACTTGCAATGTAGTGGGCGTCACCTAATACAAGAACCACTCTTACTATCCCACGCGCTCCAAAGTTTTCACCTCAATAAAGAGGAGACGACATCATAAAAAGTCATGCACCTTTGTGAAATCAGTTAACATGTTTAATTCACACTATTACAGTCATTCTACCAAAGATACACTTTACTCACGGGAAAGTATCAAACAAATCCCACCGTCACATATAACAATGACACAGTTTCTACTACTTAATAGTTATGGTTAAACTTATTATAATTCTCTCATGATCCAATTAATGAAAGAAAAGTAAATATCATCCAGTGTATAATCATCAATATGTGTATAAAGTTTATAGGCAGATATAACATGTTTATTTAATTTGATATGTGCCTTTTGTGAAAAATACACCAATTTTATTTAAGGAAAGAGGCCGAAATTCTACAATCATCTCTCATATTCATAAGGAAATCTCGATCTGTAGTATCTAATTCGCTAGAGTAAGACGGACACATCGCTTTGTCTCTTTCGCGTCCTCGTATTAACCGCTTAGACAGGTGTATGACCAGACTATCAATAAAGACCCTACCCACACCGATCTTAATCATAAAAAACAAATCTTGGTTCAACCAAATCCATACTCATTACCGATAATAATATATTAAAACCATAGACACGAAATAAACGGTATTTTTCTACAGTTATCGCATTTTAAATATGGCCGCGCGATACGAATATAGTTTAGCATTACGTATACTTCGACAAATATGCCGGATATTTGTCCCCGTTGTTGTATATGGCTGTAGAGAAGTAAAAATATGTATGTGTTTGTTTGTGTGTGTGTGTGTGTGTGTGTGTGTGTGTGTGTGTGTGTGATTCGGTGTGTGCTTACTTCTGGCCCCTCCACTCAATACTGTATCGACGGCCGTTTTTAGGCAACTAGCTGTTAAGTTGACGTTTGGTCTACACTAGAGGTCGCTACCGTACACGACTGCCGTAATATCGACGTATTTTCAAGTAGTTAGTCTATCGCCGTGATGACTTAAGATAATAGTCCATTGGCAATCGAACCTGACGATGGCATTTAACATTCAGGTGTTTTTTTTTTTTATTCTTTAAAAAAACATAGCCTTTACTGTAGGATAACGTTATCCCGTGTTGTAAGGACGTTTTACAATACAAAAATTTCACGCGGACAAACACACAGGTGCGAAACAGTTATTTGGGTCACACAAATAGTTGTCCCGTGTGGGAATCGAACCCACGACCCCCGCCGCGCATTTTGTCTTCATCGTCACAAACGTCATTAGAAGTTTTTCTACGTTACGTACGTAAATCTATTTAGTATGTACGTGGTTAAGTTTAGCACATGAGTGCTTAGGAGTTGTAAATAGTTTATAGCATTTGTAGCAATGCACGCGTGGCTGTTCATAATATGCGACCGTCAGACAGTATTTAAAGAGAAAAAGACATCCTGTGCTATTCAATGATACTATATTTACGGGTTTGTCGCGTTTAATTGCACTTTGTGAGTTTTGCAATGGCGGTGTGCTTGGACCTGGGTTCGAATCGACCGATTCGAAAAAGGGTAGCTCTCGATTCGGTTGTATTTTTTTTTTCGTTACCTCAGAACTCCGTTGTTCATGAATCGACTTTAAAAATTCTTATCGCGTTGGGTTTAGCTCCAATACAGCCCCGTGATTTATTATTGTTATTGGATATTGGATACTGAAGACACATCAGGGAACACTTAGAATTCAAATAGAAGAGATATTTGAAGGCGGTTTAGCTTTTTGCTAATAAAATGTTTCACTTATAAATTAACCCGAGCATATGTTCACCAGTATTTTTTATGTTATGTGAGCTGGTGGTTCACCTGATGTTAAATCATAACCGATTATGGGCGTTTGCAACACCCGTGGCGTTGTAGATGCGTTGCCACCTATTAATAATGTGGGCCCCGGCTACCTCACTCACCAGACGAAACGCAGAAGTGTAACATTTCCACTTGACGCCGGTCTTCCGTGAGGTAGTGGTACTTACCCGGACGGGCCTGCCCATCCGTTCCACAGCGAGGACGTGGCTCAACCACAGTTCTAGTTTCGGAATTTGTAATAGAATATTCCAGTAAAATTATACGCGATGAAGGCAAATAAAAATGGTTTCATTTCATAATTTGTAGTGCTCGCGTAGATGTAAGAAATTATACGTTTTAATTATGAATTCCTTTGTTGATTTTCCGTTGAATCGATAATACTCGTTTCGTGTGATCTTGTTCGGTTGTCTTGTTACGTGATTCTTGCCATTATTAGTTTATAGATTAGGGTAGTTGTAGGTTTTTCGAAATCGACCCGGCCTATAGTGGGCATGCAATAAATTATTTGTGATCTCGCCACTAAGCGGAATTTTAAGGGACTTTATTATATCGTGAACAGGCACAAAATGACGCACGGCAATTAAATCGTTTAAGTATACAATTAATATATAACCTTTGTAGTAATATATAGCTCGAATATTGTTAGCTAATCTAACGGTACGTCACAAGTTTTATATTGAACGTTAAGGGTTTTGTCTCACAGTTCGTTCGTTGTTTGTGTAGCGCTTTCGATTTGTTTATGTATCGGAAACTAGAGTAAACGACTATGGACTTTCGCTGCGGGTCTTTATATGGGATTATTTATGACTTGGGGTCATAAATAAGGTCAAAAACTAAAAAACGTGGCCGTAAATAAGAACACGTTATAAAATACTCGTAATCTTGCGGCAATTTGAACTCGAATGTACATCGAGTGTAATGTAAGGAACGTCTGCATTTCTATTTGGGTACAGTCGCGTAACTCGTTGAATGAGTAGACGTTACCAATGTGCTATTAGACATGACTGTACTTGCATTTTTAAGAGGCATAAACTGGTGCACTCTGTTTCTAATTAAGCTTTTTCGATGCGACTGTACCCGCTGTCTGCTCGATGTACAGTCGAGTGTATATTTTTTATAGAATTTAGTTTTTGTTAACGAAACATTTACACCAGTGTGTTGTCACGTTGCGATTGTACACGCATTAGTCGTTTTTTAATAAGTATTGGCGGTGTTTCTAGTTCGATGTATTTTGATATGGGACGTTGATTCGTTGAGTTTTTTTCATTCGTCATTTCTTTGTAGCAGAGACGCTTAATTCCGTGTTAGTCTATATGAGGATGCATGTTATATTGAATAAGGATTAAAGTGATTTAAATTTGAATCCTTTCGTTGTTTCATTTACGTCTCGCCCCGAAATATTAATAAACTCTTGTGGAAAGTCGTGATTAAGCGAAAACTTACTGGAAAGCGCCAAACTAAACTTCAAAAGTGGATAAAAAAAATACTAGATGGTGTGGGATCACCGCTGCTCATGAACATCGGTAACGGCAAAGACGACATCTCCCGTTACAAATCTTCATTGTTAAGTGCTTAAGGTGTTTCATGTTGTAAATAATGCGCGCTAGATGGCGTTAAGCTTAGCTTTTTATATTGCTAAAAATGCAATTAATGACGAAGACGGATGTCGAGATGTTCGCACCATTGATAATTATGTTAATTTAATTATTTTTTATAAGGAATTGTAACATGCGGAGCCAATACATAAATTAAATATGATCCGCTTTTAAGCCAAACTAGCACTCCTATTATGCTTTTTTACATTAACTCAACACAGACGATGGGATGATGACTAGAGATGGGTCGTATCGCTTTTTCTGAGAACCGTATCTGAATCAGATATCGATTTCAAATATCAGATTTCGAAACTATGTATTTTAATATCTAGATATTTTACGTTCGCGTATCCACCTTAAATTCATAAAAAAAAAGAAAAAAAAAGTGAGTGACAATATTTTTATTAATTAATAACATTCAATATTATAGTTAAGGGCGGAAGAATTTAAAATATATACACAAGACATGGCCTGACATCCACCAATGCAGCACGGAATTATTAAATTATATTTTTCTTTTTCGTTTTGTGTAGTTTTTTTTTTCAAAAATGCGAATAAAATTTAACTCCTAATAATTTTTCTTCCTTAATTTAGGAAGAAAATTCCTAAGTTGTCATCCCTTACTATTACGTGCTTAAGTATCAATGCACTCCAGGTCAAGGCTAAACAAAATTTAAAGACATCGTTAATACCATGATTCGTATTTAAATGAAACAGAGTTTTTTGTCCATGCTTTTAAAATTCAAGATTGCTTAACTTTTTCATAAAATCTGTATGAAGATCTGATATTGTGCATTGTTTACCGTACCCCTCTAACTAGTGTAATATTTGTATCTCACGCGCTTTGTCGCTCGCTACGGCTCAAGGCTAGTGCTAAATAAACGAATAAAAAGATATAGTAATCGTTGATACCATGCTTAGTATTTAAATGAAACGGATCTTATTTGCATGCAGTTAAGATTCAAAATTACTTTACTTATTCATAAAATCTGTTTAAAAATCTGATATTGTTGCCGTATTGCTCTAACTAGTGAATATTTGTATCTCACGCGCTTTGTCTAAAAATCTGATATTGTGGTAATAATTTAAATGAAACGGATCTTATTTGCATAACTTTAAGATTCAAAATTACTTAACTTATTCATAAAATCTGTTTAAAAATCTGATATTGTTGCCGTATTGCTCTAACTAGTGAATATTTTTATCTCACGCGCTTTGTCTAAAAATCTGATATTGTGGTAATAATTTAAATGAAACGGATCTTATTTGCATAACTTTAAGATTCAAAATTACTTAACTTATTCATAAAATCTGTTTAAAAATCTGATATTGTTGCCGTACTGCTCTAACTAGTGAATATTTGTATCTCACGCGCTTTGTCTAAAAATCTGATATTGTGGCAAATGCGTATGATATCGCGATTCGTGTTGGTATAGCGAGTGAGCGAGTATTCGGTATATCAGATTTCGGAAATGTCAGATTTTGTAAAATACATAGATACGTAACCCCGTATCTCAATGAGAAAGGTACTATGAAAATGGCAGCACGCAGGGAATTACATTTTGC